ATGCCCATGTCTAAGCTTTCATGCCCATGCCCATGCCTGGATTTTTTGTTGGGCATGGGCATGAGCCCGGGTTGCAGACCCCTAAAAAGTTTATATGCAATCTCTTTATTATGCTATCTATATTTCTATTTCTCTAATGCCTATTTATTATTTTATATGAATGTACATACAAGATTCGAATATACACCAAAAAAATCTTATAGCAGATGGTGATTGACAGATCCACACTATACTCTTTTTAGCATCCTATAGATTAATTACCATTATTTCTAATAATGGATAATCTTGTAAGAAAAAATTGAAGAATTAATAAAAAATAATAATAAAAAAGATAGTATAAAAAATTTTGCACAATATTCAAATTTTTGAATACAAGAAAATATTCATTGACAAATTCATGCTATGCTCTCTTTGGTGCCTTGTAATTACTATTTTTTCCAAGAATATGTCGAATAATTGATAAAAAAATCTACTTGATCAGAGTCTTTGTTTTGGTTGTGTTTTGAAAAATAGTTATTAAAAAAAGAAAATTTTCTCAATAATATTGAAAAAATTGTTTGAACATGTTTTTTAGTTGGTGGGTAAAGATTTTTTAAAGATATGAAAGAAGTATTAAATGTGTCTTCAACTTGCAATTATTTTTTTGGTATTATAGTCAGGAATTCTATAGCAAATATATAAAAGGAAATTTATTCTAGCTAGTAATTAATAGTTACAAAAATTTTGAATATATTTAAACCCTTAACTTTTGTCTTCAATAATTTTTTTTCAGAATTTGATTCTATAATAAACTAATAAAAGTTAGTAAGCAATTCAAAGCTAAAAGCAACTTTATTAATTTTGATTTTCTACTCTTAAAATATACTTATATACTTATCTAACTTGTTAATGTGAGCCGTGTATACTTTATAGTATTACTTTATTTCTTTGTGCATAATTTTACACATTAAACCCTTAAATTATTAATTACAAACAATTATGGAAGAAATTGATTATAATGACAGTTACTTTGATCCGTATTCTGATAATAAATCAGAAAATAAGATAGAAAACTTTTCTATCTTTAACTTTGATAATAATATCTATCAAGGTGTTAAAAATAAAATATTGTAGCAAGATAATGAGAACCAAAACGAAGATTATGATCTTGATAATGAAATAGAAAACAATACATTGCTTGATAAGCTTGATAAAGGAAGTGATAAAATATTACCAGATGAGCCAGTAGAAAATAATAAATACATATTCTGTATTATTATAGATAATGACAATAATAATAGAAAAATACAGCAATATAACAGAATTGATACTAAAGGCCCTAACCGATTACTTGCTCAACTTAAAGATACTTGGGAAGTTGATTGTAATACCATTGAGCAATGGAATGAAAAATTAAATGAGCTTGGCATCTGTTATCGGCATTTTCTTTTTGATCAAAATTAACTGTATTATAAAAATATTCAAACACTAGGAACTAACCTAAGTATTCTTCATCATACATGATATATGTTTTGTAATAAATATAAAGTTTTCTTTATGCATGGTCAAGGATATTTTACACATTCATATATAGTATGTAGATGTAATATTAGAGTTGTATGTTTAGGATTATGGACATGTGAAGCATTAAAACCTTGTCTTTTAATTTCTATAAAATCAACAAATAATACATGACCCTTATATATCTATTTAGAGTGTCATGAAGCTAATAGTAGCTATTTATATCGAAGATTAAGTAAAGAAGTTAAAGATTTTGGTTGCGATAATAAATATGATGATTTATTTGCAATTCTAGAAAATTTTAGAAATTGGATTCAATTAGTAGCAAAATCAGATAATAAATTACAAAAACAGCAATTTATCTGGTTATTGTTGCCAGCAATTAAGATATTAAAACTATGCTTGCTAAAAAATTTAATTTATAGACAAGAAGGTTCTTTTGATAAACTAGTCCTACCAACTTTATTAATGATTCAAATATAGTCAGACCCCTCTAAATGCACCCTTCCTAAATGCAACACCCCTCTAAATGCATTATTAAGCCCGGGCCCATGGTGGGACTTATAGATAAATACACGTTCTTTATTCTGTAAATGCATGCTAACCGTCTGGCCCACTTATAAAAACTCCCTCCATAAATACATTCACGGGATTACCAGCCAATCAAATTCATTATTTCAAGGCTACTAAAGCCACATTATCACGTGTTAACAGTAACATTGCGATTTTATTAGTGTTCTCTAATTGCAGCCCTCCCTAAATGCATGCTCTAGAGGTGGTCCCGGCGATGTGCATTTAAGAAGGTCTGACTGTAGCATTTAAATTAGCAAAGATAGATTTAAGTGCTAAAGCAAAAGCAGTACTTTTGAAAGAAAAAAAATATACATACTTTGAAAATCTTCTTGGAGAATCCTTATGACAATCTTGTATATTTTTTAAATATAATTTACCAATTCTAGAAAATCTACAATCTTTTAAACAATATGTTGCAGCATTGCCCCCAAACTCTGTAGTCTTTTTTTAACAATCTAATTATAGTTTTCTTTAAGAAAAAATATAAAATTACAGAGTAACAAAGAAAACTACATGGATCACTATCAATTCTACTAGATTTAATGTCAGTTAGCAAAATTACAATCTTTTTAGTGTCTATAATAACAAGAATTGCTTTTTGCCACTAGAAAATTTGATTACCTCATATTTTGGGCTCATTGTGTAGATGTCCATATATGATTTCAAAACTTTATAAAATTCTTCATATTGCATATGTAATTTCTTATGTTTGGGATTACAACGTTTATATGGAGAGATAGCAAATGGAATGTTCTAATCTTGCTAGCATACTCGAAGCTAGAAATAACATTTATAATTTATTTGTTATTGATAATATTGATATGAAAGAAAAAATATTTACATATAGAAATATATATAATATCACATGACAAATAGCATATGCTACTCTTCAACTTATATTTCAATTTAAACTTCCTTCAAATTTACAAACTGCTACTTCAATCTTTTTTTCTGAACAATCTAATCAACTTGCAATTGGGTTATCAAAAGTTACTAAAAATTTAAACAAAAATTATAATCAAATTTTTAAAGAATTACTCTTAAAAAAAATGAATAACTTTGATATTAATAATATTCATTAGAAAGTTATTGAAAACATTAAAATAGAATACAATTTTGATAAGCTAAAGATAGTAATTTTAAAACCTGACCCAGTACTGAATTCTAATAATAATGCATATAAGACATGCAATATGTTTTTAAATGATATAGCAAATACAAGAGTTACTACAATCGATATTGCATGTGACAAAGCTATATTTCAAAGACTCAAAAATTATGATAATCAAAATCTTATCACTAATATCATTCTCGGACAGTGGTATACTTCAAAAGATATATGTCAAGCCTTAATTGCAGCCTTTTCTAGATATAGAATTTTTAATATAGCAGCCCATCTTGGTATTCAATATTTAGAAAATTTAGAAAAAAGATTTGATTATCATGTGACTTGTACTGTTCTTGAATTAATCTGGGCAGCTGTCAGAATTGCAATTCATCGTTATCTGCAAAATACAAAAAAAACTATTAATGATATTGAAAATAGTTCTAATAATATTTTAAAAGTTTGGTTAAATTATTATCAGTAGGCTGGTTATTAAAAAGCATACAAAGTTAGAATTCAAAAAAGAGACTTTGACTTGCAAATTGCATACCTTGCTACATTTGTACCACTTTTTCTGATTATTGGCAAGTTTAGATATGCAGAATTGGTTACTATTTTTTTAGAAAAATTGTATAAAAACTCTCAACTTCAGAAAATATTATATCAAGTACCATCTATTAATATTACATGTAAAGAATATTATTTAGTATATGATGAAGTATTAGAAACATATAGTGTCAAGTTTGTTAAACAAGTAATAACAGGAAGATCTAGAAATGAAAAAAACTTACATCGACAAATACAAGGAAGCCAAGATGAAATCGATCGATTAACAGTCTTTGATAAATTTATTGATCAAATAATAGATATTGAAAACCATGCTACACCAAATCAACATAAACAATTATAGTTCTTAAGTAAACAAATATATAATGCATTTCAAAATCCAAATCCTAATATCTATTCTCTTTTTGAATATACATACTAGAAGGATATTTTAAAATAGAAACTTGTTATGAGTATAGAATAAGATGCATACAAGATTTTCTCGAACAAGAAGTTTACTTAACTAAGAAAAAAAATTCAAAAGGAAAGGCAGCTAAATATTTGGTTAAAGATACCATAGCAGCTTTAAACCAAAGAAAAAAAGGTCAAAAATGAAAAAATAATCAAGATAAAGATGATAAAAATGAATAAAATAAAATTACCATAAATGCTCTTCTTGTTATATTTCCCATATAAAATACTTGAAAAAAATTTTCTTTAATCAGAAGTAATTCTTTTTTAAATTCTAGGCCACATGTCATAAATGAGAAATGTGCATGTACTTCAAATTTTCTAGTTTGCAAATAAAAATTATTATTAATAAAAAATAATTAAAGAAAAATAAAATAATAAAAAACAGTCAAGAATAATTCGAACTCTTCCTGACGATCATTTGGACCAACTTTTTAAAACCAAACTTTCAATAAAAAATAGTAAAACTATGTTAGAGAA